CTCATGGCATGTTTGTTTGTGCTGAAAGCGCTATTAGACGCTGCATTTAGTTCAACCACTTGGTAAAAAAAAGGGAAATTAAAACCCGACTCGCTCCCAGAGCCGACTGTTACCAGGAAGCACAGTTGTATAAAGATAGTCAAACTGTGAAAAACTCATGAATGGAGATTAAACACACGTGGTGCACGGAGGAATCTGACTGATAAAAACTGTGGAGCTTTAACCAGGACAGATGTGGATAAATATGTTGGGTGAGGGTTGAGTCTGACTTTTTTTCCTGCATTGTCRGCTGTTTTGTGAAGAAACYCCATGCAGTGACATATGTTGCGGGGTTCCCAGGAGCTCAGCGCGGTGTGTCTCTGGAGCTATGAAAGGTGTGTGCGAAAACGACTACTGAACAACCACGTGACCGCGCGTCGACTCGTCGGCGKCGGAGGGAGTATGTTTCAGGTTTTAGAGAACTAAAGYTAAGTRGTTGAAGTGAGGAAGGAAAACAAGTCAGAATACAAACAAAGAATGAGAACAAAAATGCAAGCGTGGCCGGCAACGATGGGCCAGAGCCGATTAAACRTYGTTYATTAGWCTAATGRCTGACGGGAAAAAAACTGTTCTTGTASCGAGAGGTTCTAGTTTGTATGGACCATAGTCTTTTGCCTGAGGGGAGGGGATGAAACAGGTTATGACCAGGATGAAAAGGGTCAGCTGCGTTCTCTGTCTGTCTCTGCCTGTGGCCCCAGTGTACCATATAGTGATGGACTCCATGATGACTGTGTAGAACTGCACCATCATCTCTTCTGGCAGTTTGTGCTTCCTCAGCTGTCGTAGGAAGAACATCCTTTGCTGGGCCTTTATGAGGGAGCTGATGGTCGGCTCCCACCTGAGGTCCTGGGTGATGGTTGTGCCCAAGAAGCGGAAGGAGTCCACAGTCGGGACAGAGTAGTTGCTGAGAACCAGAGGGGATGGAGGGGCTGTAACTTTCCTGAACTCCACGATTAACTCCACTGTCTTCTGTGTGTTGATCACCATGTTGTTAGAGCTGCACCAGGACACCAGCTGATCCACCGATGTCCTGTGGATCTTGTCAGATTCCTTACATTATCTCCATGTCACACATCTGGAGTCATATTTGGTTTTATAAACTGAAAATCAAATTATTTTAGATTTTTTCCCCAAGTGCAAGAAAACATCAAATTTTGCACTAAATATACAGACATTTATGTAGACATCTTAACAAAAATAAACCAATATTAGCCTATAAAACATATAAATTTATAAATATTCCAACAAAAGCAACAGTTCTTAATGTTAGACTCACAAAAAGAGACCATGTATAAAATAATGCACAGCTAATGCACTTTATCCATTTCAACTGACTCTCTTGCAAGGATGTGGTCAGAGAGGCATGTTTACTTCACACATGACAAAAAAATAAAGAAAAGTTGTTGTTTCAATCAGTTGTGAGGCATCTTATACTGTATGTYATGTTGTATGAGGTTAAATATAGTCCAGTCATCATTTGGCTTTAAACCATGCTTTCAATTTCCCGTTGAGTTYAGAAACACATATGGAGTCATATTTGGTGCATGTATGAGACTATCAGTAGTTTGTAATTTGACACTGTTGGTGGAAAATATTTTTCCTTTTTATTGATTTGGAGAAGAACATAAACACTGAGTAAAACACTTTTGATCACTGATTACCAACAAGCCACATTTCAAACCATTATAAAAAATAAAATTATTTTCATTTTATTGCTATTCATTGTGATGACTAATGTAATGCATAACTGATTTGTTCTTTATCTGCTGCTACTTTAATTCGGCTATAAATATTAGGCTTTTGAATGAAGTTCGGAGACCCCAGTAACATTCCTGCAGAATTTCCATTTTTGTAATGTCACGATAATTCTCTGTGCACAATCTGAGACATAGTTTTAGTTGAAACCCTACAATCCTCTTATAGCAGATTTGTTTTGCTCATTCATGGTCTGTTGGGAATTAGGTTCAACAATGGGCCTGGTGCTGTAATCCCACCCCTCCCCACAACTCGCTCTCTCCTGAAATCTCATTATTAATCCCAGAGCATTGACTATCTGCATGTTCTTGCTTCAATCTTGGACTGTAATCTGTTTGTGTTTGTTTGTGTTGGGGTGTGGTCATATCTGAAAGCCAGTGAAGCAGAAAACTATCCTCTAGCAATTTTATCTTTTATTAACTCTTATCTGTATGTGTTCTTTCACTCCCACACTTCTTTTTTCTGACGCTGTTTTTCTTTCCCAGTTATCTTTCCCCCCATTTTCCTTCTTATCATACACTTTAATCAGTTATTCCATTTTTCTCATCCTTATTCTGCAAAGAAAAAAAATACATTTCCTCTCTCTGTGTCTTTGGTCTGTTCAGATTCTTGCTCTATATTCCCAACTTTCATATTTCTATTTCCCCCCAGTTTTCTTTATCACTTTTCAATCACACTTGTCGAGTCTTTACTAAAATTTCTTCTTATTTATTTCACTCTTTCTCATTTCATCTTCATTTTCTCTGTTTCTGACATCCTGCATTTTATCTACTTTCCTTCTCTGAACCTAGAGAATCACGCAGCAGATGTTGCAGGGCTCAGGCACTGTAGCATGATTGAAAATGTGACAATCATACAGCAGCTGTGACCCTGGCAACCTTACCTGTTTGCCTTGTTCTCTCACTGACATCTGTTTGGCTGATACTTCATTAGGAATATTTCCCACATTTGCATTCAGGCACATGTTTCAAACAATAGTTGCAGCATTGAATGTTTTAGAGACAGCTATTAAATAAGTTATTAAGGCCACAATGATTCTTTCGGAATTTGTAACTCCAAAATAATATAGCATTTTCCATCGTTCATCTATATTTGATGTTTTTGTTTTTGCTTTTTGGGTTGAAAATCCATGTCCTTGCATTTTTGTTTCGATAAACACAAAGCATACATGGTCAAAACATTTAACATGACAAGTAAAATTACAATTGTTTTGCAGTGGCTGCTTTCTTTCCGTGGACATGTTGACCCAGAACATGGAGGTGAAATCCCAAGCATTCGTAGATGACTCATCCTTGACTCATTCATAAGATAAAGTTTTAATTTCAATGTGTCACCTAAACTCCTGTTTAGTATTGTCTTAACAATGAACAGGAAAACAGCAAGGCTTCTGTCATCTCTGCCCATATAAATACAAGTCTCTCAGGGTTTTTCTCATAAGTGCAAAAAAGAATAG